GGGGTACGGCTCAGCATTAATAACATAATATATTAGTTTGTAAAACTTAGGTAAATCAGTGCTCACTAATATAAATACACAAGTGTTCATCGCCCGTATATGTCATATCGAAGACAGAAGAGTGCAACGGAACGTGTGCATCAAGTTGCCAAAGGAGTAACTTTGTATGTATCGAGTGAACTTGGCATAAATTGCTTCTAAGTTACAGGCGACGAGAGTAATTTCAGATATTTCTCCGGTATTGTTGCTGAAATATAACATGTAGATCACAATTGGCTGCTTACCGAAATTAAGTTGTTTTGAAAATTACATATAATTTAACCAAACTTAAGCAATAGTGGTGTTATTATTACTGTGACGTGAAACACGAGTCGAATATTCCAAGTTTAACGTCGAGAGATTATAGGTGCTTTTTGTTTTCTTTGGTGAAAATTCTGTGGTTTTATTTTTATTGTTAGGTTACATCAACATTTTATTCATTTTAGGTATTACATGTTTATTTTCTAATACATGTATTTTTTTTAAATAAAATACGTAAGCTAATTAGCCGTACTTTAACTATATAGTTCCCTGTTGTTGTTTTTTAAGTTCGTTTTGAGTTAATACGTAATTTTTAGAAGAAATTAAAATGACACTTAAGAACTCGGAGACCGTTAGTTTAATTCATTACTGTAGTTAAATTACTTGTATCATATATATTGACTTTATCAGTAAGAAGTCCAACTCTGGGTCTAGAACTTATTGTAGAATAGTTTGACTATTTCTTTACTGTTTTTCGATCAGGTCACTTTGTTCTTGGTTATTAACTCTGCAATTTTGCTGGTTGAATCAGTCAACAAATGACACGTGTATCGATTCTCAATGAGTCGCCATCTTAAAAAATGTACTAGTTGAATCGTTATTGTTGTTAATGTTTGGTTGTGTGCGACCTAAGAAACAATGATGGTTATACCACAACCAAATTTGCGTTTTGACTCGGGTCATTAATTTAATAAGATTGTTTAGTAACAGATAACCGTATTTAGATTGACGGTTATATTATTTTGCGGTAATAACCAAAACGATTTAGTTTAGTAGTATGTCAACTGTTATCCAGCTTTAATTATATTTTTGAATAGATTATATTGATCCTGAATTATTGTCATTCTGTTAAATCTGAATATGTGTTAACTAGTGAACTGTCATTCTCAAGCCCGGAATACCTAGTAACTTTCTACGACACAGAGGTTTTAATGTTTTAATTCTTCTTCTGGTTTATGTTGTATGTCACGGTAGCTAAGTTTTTGTTCAGAGACCTGGATTTTTTCTTGAGGTATGTAGGGCATTCGAATGACCTGAATACACGAGTTAAAACTTCTCTTGCCTTAAGTGTCAATGGGGATGGTTAATAAGTGTCACTGTAGGATTCCATATGTTAGTTTATTTAACCTTAGCATACCACTGGCTTGTAGCCTTGATATTTTCGTGAAGGTCGAAGATTACTTAAACCTGTTTGTACGAAAGAAAAATGGGGTGGAGAGGGGGGGGGATTGGTAAAGAAAATGTGAAGGTACACTTAAGTACTGATATGATAATCAAAGTATATGTATCGGTGTGTGTGTAAAAGAAAATATACAGTTCACTTTTCTGAATTAAGAGTACCTAATCGATACATTTGAATTAAGAGCACCTAATCGATACATTTGAATTAAGAGCACCTAATCGATACATTTGAATTAAGAGCACCTAATTGATACATTTGAATTAAGAGCACCTAATCGATACATTTGAATTAAGAGCACCTAATCGATACATTTGGATTAAGAGCACCTAATCGATACATTTGGATTAAGAGCACCTAATCGATACATTTGGATTAAGAGCACCTAATCGATACATTTGGATTAAGAGCACCTAATCGATACATTTGGGTTAAGAGTACCTAATCGATACATTTGGATTAAGAGTACCTAATCGATACATTTGAATTAAGAGCACCTAATCGTTATATTTTCTCTAGACGACTAGATTGTTATTCTGATTGGTAGTCTCATATATATATTGTGTGAAGGGGGGGCTGTTAATAATAAGCTCCACATGACATATGAAGTGTCTATGTGTTCTTATCTTCAACAAAATTTCAGTATTAGCATGTTTGTAATTGTTTGACTGTTGGACTTTGATCCTGAACTAGACAATACATTGTCATATAGACGTTTTTCATCACTGACATCCTCACCCTCAATCAATTTTTTTCTTTTCTTTACAGATTTAGCAACAGCTTTGTTGAACTACAGTTAGGAATAGACATGCTTCGTGATTAATCATATTAAAATAACAAGTAGTGTTAGTACAAAGTGTTGAAGGTTTTTACAGTACCATAGTTTGCAAGATGTTGTGCCGAAGGAACTTATTGAGGTTCAGTGATATAGTATATGTTATGAGCACGACTGTGAAAATAACATAGAGGGATTGAATAGCTTGGTTTTGCTAATTTTCTCCGAAAAGAGTTTTGGTTTTTCAACATTTTTATAAAATCAAACTCTAACGTGTAAAAGCGTATTGGTACTTAACCTTCACTGGGTGTGTATGACTTGTCACCTAACGTGAGCTAATAGGTTTTCATATCACAGCAACTTGAATAATACAGTAAACAAACATAATAGTGTCGTAAAGATCTAGTCAACTCTTGACGACACGCATCCTTCTGTATAAAAGTATTAATAAGAACATCAGATTAGTTACAGTAGTAGTAGTAAAAGTCAGGCTATAACTTGTTTTGTTTAACACTGCTCAACTCTAGTATTACATCTGTCGTAAATACAATATGTAGTTAATTCAAATGGCCGTTAGAAAACGTTACGAATGGTGAAACTTACGAGAGGAGTAAAAAAAAATAATGTTTTTGTTTCATAAGTTATTCCTGAACGTTTTATCGATAGTTGTTTGTCTTTTTTTTTTTTTTTTCTTAGGCGCTACAGCGTCTACTTGCTTTTTTTGTCATTGAAACAGGTCCATATTAAAATGTGAAAACGTTCAACTGACGTTACGCGTTTTATTTATTTATTTTATCTGAGACGAAACTGAAGAATCAGAAACAACTATTGGTCATTATAATTTATTTCTCGCATGTTATAGTTTTCTGATGCATTGATTTAATTATTTCTTGTCGGTTAATTATACCTACTCGTCTTCGTTGATATTGATTACCGTTAAAGTATTTAAAATCTGATCTATACGGCTAGCTTAGTTTTGACGAGAAGTTTTTGAATAAGATATTAAGTTGTTATAATGTGTTATATTTAGGGAGAAAATTGTTGTGCTAGAGGAAAGGTTACACTTTTAACATGCTGAAAGTTTTCATAAAATATAACATGTTTAACTTTTACTGTATTAGCAGTAAATAAATTGTGTGTAACATCTGTGTACGTGTATCTTGTACGGTGCCGTTTTATTTTATTTTTTTCCTGTGTGGTCAAGATTTATCTGACAAAACACTAATCATTTTTATTTCATGTCTTCTGACACTACTTGCCTTTCTGAATCAGGTCAGCACGTGTTTATATTCACGAGCTGTTTGACGGGGCTACTTGTTTATAAGCCAATGACGCTTTATAAACTCTGCCGGACTACTTTTACACAAAGTCCTTGCATATGATGACTACAGAGTATAAGATTGCTGTAACTGAGTCCACAGGCTCCGACCTTGTATTAACCCGTTTACGTTATGTTCAGCTAAGTTTCTATTATTTTCACCTGACGTTAAAGTTTTTTTTTACTACTTTCATCTTTTAGATCAAACGAAAAGATGTTCACACACGTAAAATTATAAAACATTTCGAAACTCTCAAATTGACACCCAGTATTCCAGTTATCCACGTGTTTGATCTTCTAAGTTCGATTAACATTTTCTTGCCTATTCACGCGATCAAATTCCATTTGTTTATAAAAGAAAGTTCCCATTTAGTTATTGTATTCTGTGGAATATAAAATGGATCAATTCTCGGCAACATGAACTCGTTAACACGTGCCCAAAGATTAGTCTTGTAAAGATTGAGGTGCTAAGATCAGATCTGAGATAGATGCTAAATGTAAAGAAAAAACAAATATTGAGCCAACTCAAATTTTTGGTTGGTCTCTGTTACGCTTTTTATGTGGCACTACATAAGTATTCAGACTGCATTTGTAGAATAAAATGAATATAAGCCTATGCTCTATGCAACTTTTTTATTAGCGTAGCGATGCAATACTTAGCGATTTTATAATGTTTTCATTCTTGACGTGATATTGACTGGATGCTTTGTTATGCAATTTAGATTATATTTTAACAAATTTGAAAATAAAAATAAATATTTCAACATAGATAATAATAAAAAAAGTAACTTGATACAAGTGTTTGAAAAGAAATGAAAGTATTTAGTTGTCCAGGAAACTAATAAACATCTTTATTTCTGAAGAAATCCTGAAAGAGAGAAAGACTGGAGGCTCACAGACGTAATCAGTCAGTTGGTAGAGTAACATAACACTTGAAACACATACAGTCTTCGAAGTCTTGTGGCTTTGGGTTATCAGCTTATGGGTCAGGATCTTAGTCTAGCCTAAAGCTATTACACTAGTAGCTTTGGTGATCTGTCTCATAAACCGGTGTTTCCCTTCTTTTTCGCGATATTCCCTCGATGGCGCTGTTTTACCAGTTTTGCGGCAATTAACGCAGCGTTCCGCAACATGTGCATATGCGTGTAAAGGTATCACAGGGTGACAGAGGGCGCTGCCGATGCCCTGCCTTGAGCACGGCGTCGCCTCTCAACCAGTGGAAACTGTCAGACGCTGAACAGGGAGGCTCGAGGGTGGAATAAGAGACTGGACTCGGGGATATCGACTTTTTTTTTTATAGAAAGCCTTTGTTGGTTGAAGCTGTGTCATTCCTTGATTGATGTTACGTATCTAGCGCGCTCTTACGTGACTAAAAGACTGAACTGTCTCAATAAATCGTGGAAATACATTTCCTGTTTTTTTTCCAGGTGGATGAGGTGGAACCTTTGGCCGATGAGCCAAGTACAGGATGACCTTAGTTTTGCCAGCGTTTTGTAGTAACCACCCTCCCAACTCAAACTTATCTCTATTTCCCGAGAGTACCACCATCTCAAGTATGCCTTGTGGTTTTGACAGCGAACCTTTGGAATTTGAGTCGGTGTTGTTTTCAGGCGAGTGGCCGTCATCGTTACGGGACATGCCCGGGTCAACACAGGACAGTGACTCATTGAAAACTGCCCCAGGTAAGGCGCTTTGTAATTTACTAACTCAATCTTCAGAGACCAAAGGTTTTGTTTTCTTTTTTAACCTTTACTGGATGAGGCGGCTTTTAGACTAAAACAACAACAACAACAAAAAGATAATGACGTCTTTGTCTGTAACCAGTTTAGGAGAGAAACGAAGTACAATGTATACTACTGGTAGTAGTCATGTTTTTATGCTTAAAACTGCTGTTAAGTTCAAATAGGTCAGCGAACTAAATACATATACTCGCTTATAGAAACTGAGGTAACTGTTACACTTGAATATAGTATATACATTTGTAAATTCGATTATTAACCTTCCCGCACTTTTTTTTTTCGTGAATATTCGCTGAAACTGATTACTTTTCATAACTTGTCAGATTTGAATTGTGCTGCACGGGAATTTAAAATGTTTCGTAACGTGAAATATTCAGTGGTGTTTGAAATTGCGTGCTTTTCGTTAACGTGCTCACAAGTATATTAAAAGTTTGAAGGAAAGTACAATACATTTCCCTATGCCATATGATTGTTTAAATATAAGACGTGTTACTGTATATCGGTTTATTTTTGTTACGTACTAAAAATTAGCAATAAAAATTGCGTAAAGAAGATGTTATTTTTTTTAAGTCGTATTAAAGGCAACAGCCAGCTTTGATTATATTTAGGTGATACAAGACATGAAAAACGATGGTTTACATTTCTATTTATACGATATTCAAAGCAGTATCGTTTTGTCAAGGATGGGAAGTGGGAGAAAATGCAACTTTACCGAAGAACGGCATATATATATAACATTATGTTTAAAGGTGATGGTAATATATAACATTATGTTTAAAGGTGATGGTAATATTACTAAAATTACTTAATTGTTATCCGCAGATTTGTAAAATATTAATTGAAATTTTGAACTTTGAAGTACTACTGACTCAGTATCGTACTGTTTGCTACTTCTACAAGGGAAATCACCTGGAAACGGAGCAACTGCCCTTTTGAAGCAACCCCTTAACCATTTTCTCTGTAGTTGCATGACTTAATGTGCCCCCCAAAAATGAAAGAAATTGAATTATAGTACAATTTGCAATTATTATTTTTAAATACTAAGCTGGAGCAGGAAAATTAGACTAGTCTTCAGAGAACAGATTTGGTATTAAACGTATTTCACCTCAAGGTTTTTGTGTACTTTAAGTAGTGATAGATATGTTTTGAATTCATTTTGTATTGCGACTGAAATGGCTGCTCAAAGTTGTAATTCTCTTTAAGTTACGTGTCCCGTTTGTGATTTAATGAAGTTTTAAAAAAGGAACTCGGTGTACTAGCGTTAGACTGGTTTCATTAAAGACAGTTGATATCGTGACCTAAAAAGATGCCGGCCCAGATGACTAAGGTCGAACTTGATGTCCGATTGTGTGCATAAGATATATTGGTAAATTTTCACAACGATCTTTGCGTTAGTGAGAATTGTGCAACGAACTTTTATCCGTCTGTCAGTTTCAGGATAGTAGATGTTAAAAATTTGTCTTAATCTGGGTTTTATTTGGAAACCTTTGCAATTCTACATGTTGAAACTTGCTTGTTCCAGTTGAAATTCCGTTTTATGGGAGATAATCTTGAATGAATTAACAGTCACGATCAATTTACATTGATGAGAAGTCGTCTACGAAGAATTTGTGGATATTTTTATACCCTAGATTTAGACTTTTATTGCAATACCTCATCTAAAATGTGATATTTTGAAATCGTTTCCCGCTCACTTTGTTATAAGCTCAAAAACCCTTCATTTTCTCATACAAGTCGGTCGTTTACAAAAATTGTATTAGCAAATTTTGGTTCGGGAATACGAAAATGATACTTCTACGTGTCAATCAGACACTTTAGTTAACATAAAATATCGGTTAATAAAGTAACGTAGATCATTAAATAAAATATATACGATAATGCATTTTTTTATATTTACTTCACGCAATATTATAACTCGTTAAACACTAGCTGATATATTGTGAAAAATAATTTTTAATGCTCATTTTTTTTATAAAACTCTTCTGTTATGCGAATCGTAAATACCCCATTATTAAATCATCTATTTTACTTGTGTTTGACTTTTTTTTTTTTTGCATTGTACTGGCATTATGTTCTATGTTTTTGGAAGTATAAACAAATGCAGTGAAATCATTTTTCTCGTGCGTGTGCTTCTCCCCTACCACCCTGAAATAAGAGGAAGATAATTATGTATCATAAACTAGTTTGTGTGGTAGTGAGTGAAAGTGTTTTTCATGGGGTATGGACACACTTATAATAATAAAATCGAACATTTAAACAAACGCGGCCTTATCTTTTTTTCCGACGTTTGAGCGTGACAATAAAGACAAGTTACTAAGGGAAAGCTTTAGGTTGTTTACTCATATGACATCTGTCTCGTGCTGGACACGAGGCATTCAACAGCTGAAGGTTACGTTCTTCCAGGTGTTCGGGTCAGATGCACACACGGTAAAAAGGAAGGGGGGCTGGAGAGGAAAATTAATTCCATTGTTGAGAACAGAGTTAAGTCAGATGAGCAGGAACCACGTTAGTGACTGGCACAACAAGTCTACTCCGTCTAGGTCATTGCTCCGATTGCAACTTTTTGCGTGTTGAACACCCGTTTTGTGGATGAGGTGCTAACCTTTTCTGCTCTTTTATTTTCAGGGTCATCTGGTGGCGACGTATCTGAAGGCCGAGAGCTGCCCTCTAGTGACAACAAGAGAAAGTTTCCTCGGGTTGAAGAATTGGGCGTAAAGCGTGCGAAGAAAGAAGACGATGTTGACAGTTATGTTGACGTTAAAGAAGAGAAAACAGATGTTGATCCGGTTAATACTGTTCTAGTGTCAGACTTGGATGTGAAAAGTGTTGGCCAACAGTTAGAACAAGGTCAAGATGAAGAAATGCCTATTGATGATCTGTTACTTCCTCCTCGACGGCGTGTGCCACAACTGTGGAGTACACGCATGCGTTGGAAAGACGAACGGCGAAAGGTATTAAAGTTGTCGATGAACAAGTTACGGCGCATTAAGGATCCCGAGGCTTCTTTGTGTCGTTCAGTACTCATCAACAACACCGTCAAATATTTGCAACAGGAGATCCGTGAAGAAAAAAATGCTGGCCACCGTGTGGTGGGAAGAAACAATTATATCTCAGACTCCAGCCCGTCTTCCGCTTGTGAACCATTCTCTTCACACCCAACTTCCCGAAGTTGGGCTTTCGATGCTGAGCCCACTGACGTTATTCCTCGAAAATCTCGCAGTGATTCAGTTTCCTTCTCTCCAAGCAGTAGCGTAGGGGAAGACACGACCAACTACGATGAAATATTCTGTTTGGACGAAGACGTGTTACGAGTTGATTTTCCCAGTAGACACTCTCAGCCGCAATCAAACAGCGGATCCGTTTCTGGTCAGTTAGCTAGCTGTGACTCAGTAGCCTCCTGCACGTGCACCGCCTCAAGCGGCAGCAATAGCGTAGTTATTGCATGTTCCAAACCTCATTCATCCAGTCACAAAGGAAAGAATCTGGACGACTATAGTTCACGCCGTCAGACAGCTTCTCCCAACCCATGTGCCACACAATACCGCATCAACCATGAGTCATACCTCTCCGACGTGTCGGTGCTGGACTCGGTTGTGTATCAAAGTCTTTTAGCATCATTGGAATCGTGAGAGCAGTGTAACAATCAGTCTTAAAATAACGTGTTAAAATTGTGATTATTTGTCAGTTAATCGGCCGAACAATACCACGTTGCTACTCCATTCTATCCACCATTCTTCGCCATATAAGTAGGCAAGGACAAACAAATAGCTTCATGGAGGCAGCCGTAAAGTTGGTTTTGTATATTAATACATATATGTACATTGTCGTTGGCCTATTTCCACCACAGATTTGTCTAGGTGAGTGAAAAGGAGAGATCAGTCAGGCTGCGGAATGTGGGTCGCTAGGGGGTACTGACCTGGTTTATTAAGACCACAACTAAACAACAGCTATAAGGAAACTGTTCCTAGGCAAGCTGTTCCGTAAACCAAATGGCCTAGAACATATTGACTTTATCCTCGTACATTAAACCAGTTTAATGTCAGCTAGAACTTTCACACCTGGCTGCACACTTCCGGTATTGATAATTAAATGTTAATTAATCCAATTTAGAGAGGGTTAATTAGATGTTTTCAGTTGTTTTTTTTTGTTTCTCATGTTCAGCTCTTAAAAATATAATAAGTGCCCCCCGACATATTTATTTTAACTTATGTTTTTTACTTAAAGTTTAAAAGTTAGAAAATCAAGTGGCGTTTTTTTTTTTTAAGTTGATGTATTTTTGCGCACGAATTTGGTCGATTCTTAGTTTGTGTTCGATTCGGAATCATCGAATTAGTGAGAGTTTAATGTGAAAATATAAGGTTTTCTTACTTTCATTGTTTAAGGCATAAGAAACTCCTTATTTAGGGAACTAAGACCAATATGACGCAGTATACTGCTTTTACCTATAATCTCGTTAACCACGTGATTAAGCTCAAGGTTGTAATTCGTTAAACATGTTACGATATACAGACATTTTATAGGACGCGGCTTGTGATTTTCTTCAAATATTACTTCTACCCGGTTTTACTCTCTTACACATTTAATTGTTGCCAAAATATTTCGGTTGAAATTAGTTATTTGATGTATCATCTCGAAAACTTCAAATAGGCAAAGCAATACGTTTTTAGTTTATGATTTTCCAAACAATTTTGTTTCTACTGAGTCAACATATATATACTACTACAGTAGTATGAAAATTTAATAGAACACCTCAACACTTCATTTTTTTTTAACTTTACACTCAAAGTAATAATATATTTGCTATGGAAATTAACTTGTAATTATTACAAATTGATCTTAATAGAAACTCGTGCAAAATTAATATTTAACTAACGTTTTTCTAATGCTAATGATTAGTGTGATCACCCTTCGCATTAATAACAACTGGACATCATTGCAGCATTGTGTCTATATATTTTCTCGAAGTCTCTGGGGTAATTTGATTCAATTTTTCTTCAAACTGTGTTCTGAGGCTTTTTTTTTTTTCGGGACACTTTTTTTTCAACAGTGTGGGCTCCAGTAAATCCAAAATTTATTTTGTGTAGTTAAGGTCTGGACTTTGTGATGACTATCCAATTCGCTGGAGCTCTTCTGGACTTTCTTTCTTTGTCAAATAATTTCGACGTTTTTTACAAGCTTGTTTGGGGCCATTATCTTCTTGAAATATTAAATTTTGCCCAGTCAGCTTATTTCAAGAGAATATAGCATGATGTACAAGTATATTGTGGTATTCAGAATTATGTGAAGATGGCCAATACCATTCGCAGACATAGTGCTCCAAATGATCGAAGAGCATCCTGTATGCTTGACACTCCAGCTACTGTTCCAAAGATCAAGATACAAGTAAGGACTTTCTTGATGCTACTCTTCTCCAAAGGCCACAGTTCTGCTGCGTTCTTTAGACGTATTCTTCAAGCTTTAAGTATTTGTGACTTGTTAATATCAGGTTTTTCGCATTTTCCATCGGTTTTTCAGGGAATATATATAACATCTTTTGTAGTGAGCTTTGTTTTCCGTCCCCAGCATTGGACTTACTTTTGCTGTATCTGTTTAGTGTGTACTTCACAGTACTTAGTGGACAGCTGGGGTCTTTAGCAATTTTTCTTGAATTGTAGTAAGCATCATGTAAAGATTGAACTTTGTAAAAGGATGCTCATCCTCTCTCTTTTGGCATTTTAATGGCAACATCACACTATATTGACTGTACTGAGTGATATTTTTGTAGAAAAGAAAAATTACCCTTTATGTATATATATATATATCTGCATGAAAAAGGCCGAATGTGAAAATTTCATAACTTTTATACAATGGCTGGTACAGAAACAAAAGGCAATAATATGTTACTCCGCTTTGTATTCATATGAGACATCTTTTGACACAATTGTATTGCACTTAATAATTTGACTGTTTTGCTTTTTCCTTAAAAGTTGACAGTAATTAAATGTGTAACATATTAAAGTCGTAAATAGAATGAGAAGATCGATAATTAGTAACAGTTCAACATTTAATATTACAGTGATTTTATTTCAAAGGCACAACAAGTCAAAACTAAAGAAGAAATGTGGTGTTCTAGTAGATTTGTATACTGCTGTACGTAGAATCTGAAATTTGAATCAGAAAAGATGAGGGCCAACCCACAAAATAAAAATAAGTATTTGGGTTTTGCTTTCTCCGTCGTTCTTACGGCTATACTCAGTCGTGATGACCTTCGACTGTTTTCTTCCTGAATGGTCGCGTGATATTGAGTATTTTTAGCCACAAGTGTCCTCACCACGGTTTTGTTATGATTATTTAAAAATATGTACAATTCAACAATCAGATTGTTTATCCCGTGCAATATTTTGGGTTATGGTAGCTTAAAAACTTTAGATAATCGGGAATATTATTCTGAATTAAAAATACCATTGTATTCCAAACTATCTCCCAAATAATAAGTTCACGTTGAAATAAATTGCTGACCTATTGGTTTAAATATTGGGGTTTTCAATTGATGATAATTTTACAGAAGTTTGCTACAATTACTGAATAATTTGATATTTTTCCGAAAACGTTTTTGTTTGAAAACACCGAACAACCTCCAAAATTTACGTGGTTATGTAACTGAAATATTTTTGTTTTTTTTAAGCTGTAATACGGATATCCAAAACTGAAAAACAAAGTAAAACAACTAATATGAATCTTGAGTATGATGTATACATAAACACTTATTTCATATCAGTATGACTTATTTCGTTGACGACTTTGAATACACGGCCACGGATTATTGAGTACATGTAAATATATTTTGTGGTTCAGTGTTGGCAGTGTCATTCCATGTTTGTGGTGCTTTGGTGTAATAGGCCCTAACGTTTGTCGTAATACTGGGGATGGGGGTAATATAGCCAAATAAATAGATTTGTGTTAATTCTATACCTAATTTTTCCCTGTTCAGCGGTTAGCTTGAAATTTTAGCATCCGAGGAAAAACGAAATAGCATTGAGTGTCTTTTTATGCGTTAGATACGTGTTGCCAGCTAAATTATAATACGTTTGAGAAATGTGTATTAACGTGCATGTTATGTACAGTTCTCGCCTTCACTGATTCAAAATTGTATTTGAAGGGAAACAATATTTTGGAATCGTTCGAAATGTTAGTAATTTGTGAAATGTATATTGGGTCATGTGTATAATAAACGTCTTAGAGACTCGTTTGGAAATATCAAAATTAGAAAGTGACAGGTGTATTTTACGTGGTGAAAACTGAGATAGGTAGGATGCTCCAATTTTGGTTGATGAATCGTCAGTTAAAAATCAGGTTTCAAGTTAGCAGTTTCAGCACAAATGTAAATATTTATCGCTACGTTTTGAAATATATGTAAACCTTAGACCCATAACATTGATCCTGGAATGACAGAACATAAGCTACTCGATCTGCCACTGTGTAATTAACCCGGCACTATTATTTTACCCATATATTACGTTTGTCTGCGTTGTAGCTTTAAGATCAGTGTTTTCTAGTACTGATTTCTCAATATACTTTTTTTTTATGGCATACGTATGGCTTTGGCATATTCCTATGTCTCATTTTCATTATTATTTAATCAAAAGTAGGTATGTTTTCCTGTTGTCTAGTCTCTTTTATACACAAGATTGATTCACTGTCGCAGACTTTGTATGGAAGCACACAGTTTTAATACACTGTTGGTCCTACGTGTCAATCTGGATCTCATCGTTAAGGTAAATTATAACGTTTTTCACATTGAAGGATTTTTTTTTCTTACAGGTCGTTGGTGGTTCATCACCATTAGTACTTACAATCATTGTTTAGGCTCCATAAAATAAATTAGATCTATTTTGTTTTCGCCATTGATTGGTGTTTTGATTGAAATATGAAGAGTTTCAAATTTAATAAAACTTAAATGTACTCGCATTAAACTTTCGGACCAAAAACTATTCAACGAGTTTTCCTAGATAAGTAAAAATGTGTGGACAGAATTAGTATAAAAAAAAATCATTAAAGCTAAGTCCCAATATATTATTTAGTCCTAATTACAGCTACATGAACTTGTACAATAAATGCAATTAACTTCATCATTGTAGCAGAAATGGATATGTTCCTTAAAGTTTGTGAGGTTAGGGCTTCTTTGGTATTTAAAAAAAAAAACGTGCACGGCTTTTTGTTCGAAATTTATTTAGAATTTTGTTTACGAATAATCTAATAAATCTAAACGTTTTTTTCCATGATGATTAAGCTTTTTAAAAATAGCTTAGTATGTTCAAAGTTAATATGGTTATTGAGACTATAGAAGACTGAGATAATATAGCTGGACTTTTGCTATACATCAGAATTGTTTATAACTTTACCATATGTTGTGACCTATAAATCTTTATATTTAAGACTTTTATTTCAAAAATTTGAAAAATATATTCAAAGCTAAATGGCTAATTAAAATATTGATAAAATTTCGTTGGGACAAAATTAGAGATCGTCTTAGAAAAAAAAAATAGCTTCTCATCTGAGCTATTTTTCAATACAGTATTTGTATTTGAAACGCCGTTTAATAGCGTTTAAGTTGAGTAAAACGGAATCTATTGTCCTTGTGGTGTTGATTATTAGGAAATACCATGCGAAACGTTGCAGCCAAGATGATTTTCGTAAGAGCTCAGTTATAACATGCAAGTTTTTCCGTTGTAACAAAGATTGGTTCTTTGTGCTAGAAAAAAAAAAGTTGATGAAGTGGGTTTTTGTACAAGGTCATTTGTATGATGATGATAACCTTTACATAACACACCCTAAGCTTTTTAAATGCTTATAGATGTTCCAATGTTTTTACCTATGCTGCTGTTTTACCAGTCCGAATACAGCTAGTAGTTATTGTATTTTCATAAATAAATGAGAAGCATAAGAAATCCTTTTTCTGTCTGTGTCTTTTGTTATAAAATGATCCACATTTAAGTTTCACTATATTTTCCTATATTTTACATGTTTACTGACCATATTGAAATTTGCTTAAACATTCTGACTAAATTTCAAACGATAGAAACTCCAGAAGTTCGCGATTTAAGATTGAATATCAACACAAAGCAGTACTTAAGACTGAATCACGCAAAACTAATAAGAGGCTATAAGACATTAAAATTCTAAGAATCAACACAGCCGTTTCACGCGTTAAAACGAATAA